TAACATTCTGTTAGTAGTTTTTATTGCCTAATGTTGTGGTTTCTTTCATAGGCAGCAGACCCAGTAAAGACATTTCATCAGCTACTTACACAGCAGCAGCCTGGATTATTTACAAATGGAGATTTCAGTACCATATTAAAATAAATCACTACTACATACTGTTAAAGTTCCATTGTGAGTGGTAAAGTGAAGTGGTAAAGCAGCACCTTGCTCACTGGATTGCTTGAATGAAAGAATATCAGGACAAGACAAAAAGTAGGTAATACACAGGAGAAATTTGACTTAGGAGGAGGAAAAATAAAAAAAAATCAAAACCATCCCCAAAAAAAGTCTAAGAAAGCAGCTGTATGACAATCAGTAGTACCAAAACAATAGTCCATCAAGAGGAATCACCATCTCAAGCTTCAGCATTTACAAAAGCAATACCCACTGGTAATGACTTTGAGAAAAATGCAGGCACACTGGGGTGCCCTCACTTAGAATGATAATTTAAAAAAACCCTTTAATGCCAAAAATGGCCTTATGATATTTCTGTGCCCCTCCCTGGAAGTGTTCAAGGCCAGGTTGGATGGGGCTTTGAGCCACCTGGTCTAGCGCAAGGTCTCCTGGCCCATGACAGGGGGTTTGGAACTAGATGATCTTTAAGGTCCATTCCAGCCCAAACCATTCTATGGTTCTGTGATTGTAAGTTGTTGGTTTTTTTAATACACTTTTTTTTTTTACTCAGATTCAGTATAGCTATAACTTAGTGTCTGCTAAGAAGTCTTCCTTGGCAGTGTTCCGCTGCTGGGCAACACTGGCTAAACAGCCTCTCCCCGCACCCCATCATCTTCATGCAAGACAGCAAGCAGCCCCCTGGGTTTCTGTCTTCCTGAGTACCCTTGTTGTTTAACGGTTTTCTAAGTCACATTATTTCAAACATTTCCTGCATCTGAAAATGTTTCTCCGAGTCATAATCAGAAAACATAATGTTTACTTGACTGGTTTGACTTGGACAATGTTAAAGTGACAACTATACCTTGGTCTTTTTTGAGCTATCCTCTCACTTGAGGATTTTCCTGCCTCCCGGTATTTTATGTCTAAGTCTAGGAAAAGTAAACAATCATTTTCCAGTTAGTCCAATACAGGCTTCATTTACGTAATTTGTAATTTTGTAATTTACACTGAATGTACCGTAGTCCAAACCATCAAGATTCTGCCCAATATAAACAGTTGTATCTCTGACTCATCATAGAAGGAATTTGAAAAATCGTAACTATGCTGTGAGGGAAAAAGAACACAAGACATGTTGATACATTGATCCATCTACCTTCATGCCATCATGGACAATTTTACAAGAGCTGTAATTTGGGATGGGAGTTCAAATGGATGTACAGACATTTCAGTACACTGGTCTCTAAATAGACTTGGAGTGTATGTTTCCTACACCTCATTTCACCTCTATGTCACACAGAGCCATGGGATGTAGCAGTTCAATCCTGTGTCTGATTATCAGATACATGTTCCAGTTTATTTGTCAAAACAAGTTTTCAGAAATAGACATCTCCACAAAAGGGAGATCTGCAGTACTGAAGGTTGCAACAAAGCACATTTTTAGTAATTTAGTTTTAAGTGAACAGTACACTTGATATTATAGAATAGTGGTTTATTTAATCAGTGCCCCTGTGACAACAGCATGCTTCTTTTGACTGGGGTAAAACTGCTGAGCAACACTGGTTTTGCCTTCAGCAGCTCAGATTGTCTGCAGTAGGATTCCTACAGCAACAATCTCTTTTTTCAAGCCAGTCCTAAGGCAGGAACACTTCCCTACCCCCACCCATAACTTCTCCAGCTGCTAAGCAAAGAATAAACTTCTAGCTTCGCCCCTCCTTTATTGGAAAGGGAATAGGGTAATATGCTGTAATTGGTTTTCCATGTTTGCCAAGAGTCTGTTTCCTCTTATCATCCACAATATTTAACATAAGTCTTGTAATAGTTCCAAAAATAATAAAATCTGTCCCAAGAATAAAAATGATAGATTCATAACATGCTGCTTTTTTTGTCATGGTCTTGGTTTCGTAACATTCTGTTAGTAGTTTTTATTGCCTAATGTTGTGGTTTCTTTCATAGGCAGCAGACCCAGTAAAGACATTTCATCAGCTACTTACACAGCAGCAGCCTGGATTATTTACAAATGGAGATTTCAGTACCATATTAAAATAAATCACTACTACATACTGTTAAAGTTCCATTGTGAGTGGTAAAGTGAAGTGGTAAAGCAGCACCTTGCTCACTGGATTGCTTGAATGAAAGAATATCAGGACAAGACAAAAAGTAGGTAATACACAGGAGAAATTTGACTTAGGAGGAGGAAAAATAAAAAAAAATCAAAACCATCCCCAAAAAAAGTCTAAGAAAGCAGCTGTATGACAATCAGTAGTACCAAAACAATAGTCCATCAAGAGGAATCACCATCTCAAGCTTCAGCATTTACAAAAGCAATACCCACTGGTAATGACTTTGAGAAAAATGCAGGCACACTGGGGTGCCCTCACTTAGAATGATAATTTAAAAAAACCCTTTAATGCCAAAAATGGCCTTATGATATTTCTGTGCCCCTCCCTGGAAGTGTTCAAGGCCAGGTTGGATGGGGCTTTGAGCCACCTGGTCTAGCGCAAGGTCTCCTGGCCCATGACAGGGGGTTTGGAACTAGATGATCTTTAAGGTCCATTCCAGCCCAAACCATTCTATGGTTCTGTGATTGTAAGTTGTTGGTTTTTTTAATACACTTTTTTTTTTTACTCAGATTCAGTATAGCTATAACTTAGTGTCTGCTAAGAAGTCTTCCTTTCTTCCCAAGAACAGATATAGTGCTCCAACAGTCACGAGTTAACAGTCACAGGTAAACTCTTAAGGCAGAAATATATTTCCCAACTTAAATGTATACAATTTAGCTTAAAACTAATCCATGCCCTTCTAACCCCACCAATATATAAATATTGCAGTCAAAGGTTACTTAATGAGTCAGTAACACAATGAACTATCACAAAAAGCGTAATACAGCAGAAGAGAGACATCTCTACAGCAGGAAGCTGAGCACATGCTGCCTGCTAGGGGCTTCAGACAGCCTCTTTTTATTGTAGCATATCAGTAATAGGTGTTTTGGCAGTTGGTTACCTTAAGTCACTGCTGAGTCTTATCTTGCACGAGAATAAATCAGAATGATTGAAGTCAACAGAAACACACAGGTATAAAATTGACGGTGTGTGTTAATCTTTCTTAAATGCCTGCCAAAAATTTCTATTTAAAATTATACACTCCAGAAAAAGACAGACAAGTCTTAAAATGATGCTTGGAGGATTTGTCACTCCAAATTTACTCTTTTTGAAGTTAACTATGGTTTATACCATATGCTAAACTGGGAGTACAAGGAAACTGCACCATGGTATGATTTTTCAGTATCAATAGTACATTACATATAACAGGTGTACAAGTTGCTGGGGAATAACGAAATGTTTTAATTCTTTGGTTATAAAAATGCAACCAATGAAAGCAACAGGAATTCAACATGAAAGCTGGGAAAGTTATTAGTCATGTACAAGTAAAACTGAAACCTGTGAAAAGAATAATCTTGTAAAACACAAGCTCTACAAGTAAACCCTGCTGCTAAGTTCTGGGCTACGTAGTTTTCAAACTCTAATAGCATAAAATAGGACTAGTGGCTTCTTGAAAAAACAATAAAATACACAGATTTCTAATTGCCAACAAAAGGGTTACGTGTGCACAAAGCTTGTAACAAAATGCCAGGCAGAACGCAAGGAAACTTAAGTCTTGCTTATCTCCTCTTTGAAAGCACCAGGTTTTTATATAGTGCACAGTATAAGGCTGGCATGTAAGCCAGGACCAACCAGCAGGATCAAAAAATCAATATGCACTTGTGATTATAGTAAGTCACAGCATGCCCTCATGCCCTTCGCCCCCCAGAAAAAGTGCCAGTGGCTCTTTGCTATAATAGCCTAGATTCCTTGTTAATTGTAAACATCTTCCATGCTTTCAGAAAAGGTAGCTGTCAGAAGCTTTAGCTTTTTAAGCCATCACCATTTAAAATAGCAAACATTTTTGTTCTTCTCAGGATAGGGTACAAATTCCCCTCCTCTGGTCCCTTAATGGGGAATTTTTATGGCTAAGAGAAATTTACTTCTGTCTACAGAAGACCATGCTTCTCTACCATCTCATCTTGAGCAACTGAGTTCTGCAATGTTGCCAGTTCCAAAAAATCTTCAAGCTGTTCATTCAAGCATGTACTCATTTGTTCATTCCCTCTTGTGAGCATCTAGCTACTACAAGCAAGTTTTCCCTCAGCATCAGTGCAATTCAGTTCTATGGTTTTACTGTTACGCAACACAATTTTCAAACTTCAACTGAAATTGCTGCAGTAAACAGTTAATAGTTGAAAGTATGTGAATTGAGTACCCTCTTAAGAATTTAAATAGTTAAATTGCATTGCTTATAATGCTCCTGTATGTGAAAGAAAGATCAGAAGTTGGAAACTAATACAAATCCTTATTGGTCCTTCCTTCTCCCAGATACAAAAGGTTCCACATGTATTTTAAACTCTAATCTCAGAACCACTACTGTGTTACACCTGACAGGCTGAAGTTTATTACCTTCAGACATTAAAAGTTCTGACAATAAGAATGGATGACATAACAAACCATGTCCCCCAGTGTTGTGTTGCAGTCACTATTGGTCCCGTAAGACAGTTTTGCAGTCACTCTCCCACTTTTTTTTTCTTCTTTTTCAGACACGTTAAGCATGGCCTATCAGTATATCTGCAATTTATATAAATAGGATAAGGTGGAAACTAAGTTGTTTCCTCATTTGTAGGAAAAGTGACATGAATATTCTGTACTTTAACAAATAAATGCTGATTTGTTTTGTACTGCTGCAACCCTTTCACTTGAGGCAAAACACCCCCTCCCTCCCTCCCACCACCACAATAAGTACCAAAGCATTTCTAGTTTTGATTTTCATCAAGATTTCCAAACTGGCAGATTTTATTTTCACACCCTCTTCACAATAGACAAGATGCTTACCATATTTAGGATTACAAGTTGTCACTAAAAGAAAACTTTACACAACCACTGTACATTTAGGTTGAAAAACTGTCCTTGCATGAAAAATATACCTAGAAATCAAGTGGTAAACAAGAAAAAAAACATTAAGAAAAGATTACCATTTTTATAATGTGCCTTTTTAAATTTATCAACTCCTCCTCTACTTTTCATTCATACTCTGTTTTTACCTATAGTATTCATTAAGGCAAACAGCTAATCCATTTCTGAAGAGGTGCTGTGGAAATTGTGGACAAACAGCAAACATTTGGCATTAAAATACCTAGCATGTATGTAGCCTCTAGTAATATACATTAAGCATTTCTCTTGGACTTCAGGACAATGGCAGGGGAGGATGAACATGCTAACAATGTCAAAAAGGCTTAAAATTCAGCGTCCAAGCAACTTCTATTAATGCTTCTGTAGTTTTCAAGCTCTAAGTAGTATAGAATTTATGCAAATGCATTAAAGAATTCTAGCTTGGCAAGTACACCCAAGCAGGTTATTAAACTATATATACAGAAAGTGATAAATACAGAATTAAGAGTCCTTCCGCTTCTCTTCATAGCCTTGAAAACTGACAAAAAACTTGAGGACAGCTCTACAATATTAAACATTAGGTAACCGCAGGAGCTGGGAAACCTAATACACAAACTGATTAAAATACTCAGATGACTTTGTAGTGTTTAATACAATTCAGTTCGTAGTCAAGGGCACAAGACAACATTTAACAAAAATAATCACATCAATTGACCTAGAAATCAAATGTAAATAGATATGAATACAATCTCCAAAATCTGTCTTTAAGTGAACATTAACCATTTATTCAAAGTTATACAAGAATTTGAAGGATAAAGTCTTCTTCTGCAACAGGAAACCAACTTACAAGTTTCATGTCTCAGTTGAATTGAAGTGGAGGCGAGCGGGGCGGGGGGCAGGGGAGGGTGAACAAACAAGTTAGTAGGCCCCATCCAGGCAGCTAGAAAGTAAAAACAGGCTCAACAGCAGCCTCCTCCAGCTTGTTGTCCTCCCTGATTGCTTGCAAGCGTTGCATTAGTAGCAGCGTGTTGAGGGCCAATTTTTATGCCATTTGCCTGAAACAAAGTGTTTAATACACAGTGTAATTATTTTAGAACACTAATATACTTGAGAAGTTGTTGCTTTTCTTTTTTTTAAGAAGATCATATAGCAAGTTCTCCTAATGTATGCAATTAATACAGCAAAGGTTAGATTTCTTTTTTTTAGCGAAATGTCCTTGGAAATTAAATATAATTTAAAGGAAGATACATTCCTTCTCATTTAACTTTTATCTCCATGTTAAACACTGTACTTTAAATTCCTCACATGAGAACACAGAGCAAGAACTGTGCTTGAATGCTACTTGGCATAAGGCTGTAAATATACATAGCATTTGCTAGGAACATATAACCTCTCCCCTCTCACCAAAACCCCCATTAGTTTAATAGTTTAATATAAAACTTTTCCTCTCTAGACAGCATTTCTTTCTGTGTTGAATCAGCTGCAGAGGCTAAGGGCATACGAGTGTTCTGTGTCATCAATAATTTCTATGATCCCGAAAGACATGGCTACTTGCCAAGAACCCACACACAGCGCAGCTCTTTCATTCATCAAAATCACACTTATATCTTAACCCTCACTCCCTCAAGTGGATTTTACCTAAAAATACAGCACTTTGAGAAAAGTAATACAGTAGCTTCAGAAATTAAGCTCTTAAGGAAACTTTGCGTCACAGTAAATCTCAGATTTATAGTGCTTGGCAGTTGTTCTGCAACAGTAGTAGCCTTGGGGTTTCTGGCACTAGCTCAGTATTGACAGCAGCTGATGTGGTTTCTTTTCGCTCTTTGACTCCTCTTTAATAAAAAGCATGCCCTATGGCTCATTGGTTTTGCCCCCTCTGGGCTGATAGCAACTTCTTCAGGAATCAAGGAGCCAGACTTGGCATAAAGCCAAATAAATAGCACGGACTGTTGGCTCTTGACAGCATATTGCAATCAAAGCTCCATAAGGCACAGTAAAGCAGTCAGCTACTATATATGAAACTCGACAGATACAATGAGCATGCTTTTTCAGACACTCTCATTACTGTCCAATTTATATTGTGCTCCTGGGTACATTTTCTTTAGGAAAAATGTTACAGAAAATTTTAAGTTGTTCATCACTGAACTGCATTGAAAAAGTGTTTCCTTAAAACACCATGTATACATCCACATATTCCAGTCAGAATTAGTGTCTTTGAAGGACTACTATTCTAGTCTCATTTTGCTACAGGTCTGCTAATACAAATACTTTGCATACTACTGAAGTTTCTCATTTTTTTCCTCTCTAATGTCATCACAGCAATAGTTTTAACAGTCTAAATTTTCTCATGTTTAAATATATTAAGCAAAAAGAGGTGAAGCTATTTGAGTCCTATCAATTCCCCCACCACTCTTTGAACAATTTTGCAAGGACTACATGCTTTAAGAGAAGCATCAGACTGACAGTTCCAGACAAAAAACGCACCTGTTCATAGAACAGACACAGGACAGAGTGGAAGTGCAGATTTCCACATGTGGTTTCACTAAGCATCTCAGCAATGATATTCAGGCACTTGTACAATAAAAAAACTTGGCCACAAAAACTGACTGACCACTTTACACTATCATATTTAAACTTTACATAAAAAGTCACACCACATAAATGTTAATAGTCTGTAGGATCTAGTATTTCTGTAGGATCCTAGTATTTCTATGTATTACCACTGAATTTGAATATGCTTTTTCTATGGCCTCTCCTAACTGCTCAAGATTTTCAACAGCATAATTACTTCAAAATTCCAGAGAGGCATTACAAGTCCTTCTAGGGTCTTGCATTATAAAAGTGCTCCCTGCTCCACCTCCCCACCCCGATCCCAAACAAGCAAAGAGACAGATCCTGATAATCTGTAATTTCAGTAATGTGCATAGGCAAAACGGCTAATCTTTTATTCCCCACAGAATCCAGACACCTAAACCAGGAACATTTCAAAAGTCTTTTATGTAACTCTCAAAGCAATCCCTCCCCTACACTGGACAGCTCATGGAGTGCATCTGGCATATCAACATGGTCCCCTATTTACATAGTGGAAAATTATCTTTGAAAACAGATGACACCATATGGAGAAGTGGATGAAAGTGGATTTTCTTCTCTTTTGGGGATTTATATTATTTTGTGATGCTTCATGGATGGATAGGGTCACTTATTTTAATCCATTTTTATCACAATGGTAGACAATCCTATATCCAAATGGAACAAATATTTTACTGTCCAGCCTTCTAGGGAAGGTGAATTTTGTGCATTTAAAACACAAGCAAAGAAAAAGTGTTCAGAGTACTAAAAGTTACCTCATTATTTATGTCAAAAACTCCTTCCTGGATCTTCTCATAGATCTCCTTTGCAGTGTTAATAAATGCCTAAAATAGAGGGGAAAAAAACAAACACAATGAACACAACATCCTTTGCTGTAGGATGCACTAATTGAAGTCCAATCTCACATGCAGTTGTTCCAGCAAGACTTTTCTTCCAGGCCTCAGCAAGAACAGGTATGACAACAGCATCCTATGACCTACCCTGAAGTAGCAATGGATCACACGTTGTTTACAAAAACAGTGGCGTTTTCATAACATCTGTATTCTACAATCTGTTGTCCAGTAATTACAGGGGAAAAGTGGTTTTTAAGATACATAAATTACTTTTAAATTATTTATTTCTGACCCTTATGGATAGATTGTGTGGCAGATGGTTTCCCCTACCCTTAATATCTTTGTAATAGGCCACTCTAGATTAGAGCGCTTAGCAACATAAAACCACAGGGTACTTACAATGATGATGTAAGGATGCTGCCTGCTGGATGAAACCTTATGCTATCATTTAATATTCACCTAATTTTAAGAACGTATTCTCCTTAATTAATCTTGTACATGATAGGCAATAGATATCTTAATAGTAGAACGGAGAGGCCCCAGGATTTATTAGGATTTCTGAAAATCTATTGTTTTAAATTCAGAGAAAAGACTGACATTCAGGTCTGAAAAAAGTGAATGATATAGACCGCTTTGGTTAAAGTTTGAAATAAATGATTCAATTTTTCATCTCTCATTTAACTTTTTAGGTCAAGTAATGCCTAAAATAATGTATAATTTTAAAAGTGATTAACGGCAGCTAATAATTACAATCAATATCAAACAGAGTTCTTTTTGTTTTAAAATACCAACACTATGCAATCACAGAAGATATGCTATCTTCTGCACAAGCCTATTACAGCAAATCCAGATCTAATTCAAATATAAAAAAGTAAACAGGGTTCATGGAGAGGAACAAATCATACCTTTCCTCATTTCTACACTGGAAGCATTTGACTGCTGAACTTGCCACCAGAGCTTTGTTTCCTAATTAACAGGACTGATATGTTTTCACCTTTAAAGGCCTTACAGCTCCCCAGAGTAATCAATCTACTGCAGCTCAATTACTGCACCAAGCACACACCACAGCGAGTGAAGGAGACTTGAACGACTGCGGCAGGAGCAGAAAGATATGAATATGCATAAACTCTAAGTGGGTGATCGAATCATCACAGAGGGTCATAAGAATTTGCAGCAAAATAATGAGAAGAATTAATCATTGCAGATTCACAAGGCACTTAGGAAGTGAGTTCGTTTTTCAAACACAAGTTAGAGTTGAGGAGAAAAACTGGCTTTTGGCCAACTATGCATCGATTAAAACTTCTCAGAAATTGGAAGTTCTCAATGCAAGAAAAATATTCAAACTTATCTTCACTTCTGATAACACACTTACAGTAATGGCCTCACACATAGGCCTACTAAAAAGTGTAAGTAAAAAATTCTGGAGATTCACAGGGGTAGATCTGTGAGGATACTTGCTTCCATTTCACTAGAACATTAAACAGAACTTGAAGTCTTAAAAATGTGTTATGATAACTTCATGTAAACAAGCACTTAACTATTGGCTCTTGTAACAGTTCTAGAAGATGTTGGCTAAGTGTGTCTAGACTCTTAGAATTAGTTTAACAAGAATCACATTCCATCTATAAAAGTTACTTCAGAGCAACAAAATCAGGATTTGAACAGACAACAAACTCCAAACTAACACAACTGAGTATAAAGTATCTTCTGGATGCTACACTCAAGAGCAGTTCACCGCAGTGACACATCTATCCTCATAAAAAAATACTAAAATGCACTGGGAAAACACAGATTTAACAATAATCAACTCCTTCCTCCTTCAACACAGTTATTACCCATGTACTGTACAAAGCAAAAAAACATACTGAGTTCAGTACAGACTATTTTAATATTCAACATATTGACTAAGACACCATTGATCTGAAAAAAATGCACATCCTATTCACCTTGGTTCTATCATTTCTGTTGTCTTGAAAAGACAATCTTGACTACAGCTACCACAACTCCAGTGATTCTGCTGCATCATGTATTCGTATTAAAAAAGCACATAGTGTTCTCTGCATGGCAAAATGCCAAGCTGCACTGCATCACATATGAATAATTTTAATTTGAAAACAGAAGTTGCACAAGAATATAGCACGTAGTAAATATACCTCATGTTTTCTTCAGTTGGCATAGATTCTAAAAAATTATTACTCATCAGCCATGAAAACAGATTTGAAACCTTTGAGACTTTCGTATGTTTATTGTATTAATGCTTTTTAAGTTAGCTTATGCTTCAAAGTTTAAGTGGTCTCAAAATAACCACCAGAGAACTTTACTGAAAACATAGGTCTACTTGCTTGAAGAATATAATATCTGATTTTGGAATTGCATACTAGTTAGTGTCGCCAGTTAGCAAGGACAAGAAGGTGAACCTGGTATGTCTGACTTATTTTAAAAATCTCTTTTTATACTTTTCTAACCCTTATCTGGAACATACAGTATACTATAAACTCTCAATTATTTATGGGCGGTTTATCCTATTTGCAGATTAACTGAGGCATGGATGCAGAGACAGAGCTGTTTCCCCTCAAATCCAGTTTGGATTTATTAGACCATGTGCAGGGGACTGCAAGAACACAGCTGTAGCACTTAACATGCCAACTTGGATCCAGGTGCAGTTTAGCCACTTCCACACAAGACCTTGACCAGTAAGCCCACAGGGTCTGGGCTTGCTGCCTACCAAGACTACTGGGGCAGCACTGCACAATCCCGTAATGCCACTGCTACTAAAGCACCAGACTGTGACACTGAGCACCTCCACCCCTCATCAGCAGAAACAGATTCTATCTGCATTTATACTCAGCCACTTGAAGGGAGGGCAAGGCTCTAGTGCACAGTGTCTCCATTACTCATAAAAGGAAGAGAAACTTTTGCAAAAACAGTATGTTAAGACTTCCAATATACAATTCTAGACTACATTTCAGGAACATTTAAGAAAACAGTGTAATGTCATTAAAATATCTGTATTTAATGTTTAACTCTTCATTTTAATCGTCCTAAATCATAAATTACTGATGTTTTTATGCATCAGACTACTAAAAGTATCTATGCCACAGCATTCAAAAAGGCTTGTATACAAGTTATTCACTGATTTGTTTTAATGCAACTTATTTTCCAATCGTGTTCATGTTATAACTAGGTTCTCGAATAGTACAATATCCTGTGTCAAGGAAAAACTACATTACTGTACAAGTATGAAAAGTGAGTCATGTAAGATGTGATAGGCCTGTTGTGTCACACCTGCATCTACTGCAAAGCTAACAAAGAAGGTTTTTGAGTCACAATATACCAGTACACTATCACTTTACATGATTTCTGTAAGGAGTTTCCTAGATCCTATTGCTACATGGGAATCAACAAGTCAGGTCTCACAATGGTTGCCACAAAAAGCCTACAACTAAAACCCCATAACCCCCCCCCCAAGCAGTACAGATGTTGCATTTGAGATAAATTAATCCTAAAAACACTGAACACAGAATTCAATCAACTTCAATTGAGTCTTAATCACACAAAATAAACAAATAAGGTAGGTTTACTACTCTTAAGACAAAACTAGGAAGAATGAATTCTATAACTAGTAAAAAACCCCACAGGAAGTAAAGGAGTAAGCCTCTCAATACCCGTCTTACGAAAATTGTTTGTAGGAGTAATAACAAGCTAAGGGCACCAGAATGCAAGCTACAGAAGAGCACCATTTAATTTTCACTTGGCAAATGTCAGTAACATCACTTCTCTTTCTCAGAAAGCTAATGCCATTATAAGTCTTGAGGACTTAACTCCAAGCTGAACATACCAGGAAAAACTTGTAAGTGAATCACCAATACTTTTCAAAACTCAGATTTTACAAGTTCATCTTTGCTTAAAATCAAAATATATCCAGTTCTGCACTGTCAGCTCATGTGACATGCTGCCCTCTGGTGGCAATACTGAAGTTAAATTTCATGCTTTGAAATGCAAATTGGTTGTCATTATTTCTGAATGCTTTAAATGAGGAATGCTTAAAGATTAAATATCTCACAAATTCTAAAGCATGACCCTCACCTCTGTGGTCAGCGAACACCTAGAATTTCTTCCTCCTTCCCAATTTCCCATCTTACCTTTAAGCAGCATGATACAATGTAATTAGGTTACTCTAGTATTTAAAAATACACCTGGACACAGTAACAACATGGACCATAAATAGGTTTACCCCATGACCATTCACCACCCCAGGGTATATGCGGTGCTGGATAGCCACTTACTAGAGTGAGATCCCAAAGCTCTGAGCAGCTGTTTTCATAGAATCACAGAATCATTAAGGTTGGAAGGGACCTTAAAGATCATCAAGTTCCAACCCCTCTGCTACAAGCAGGGAACCCTACCGATAGATCAGGTTGCACAAAACCTTGTCCAACCTGGCCTTAAAAACCTCCAGGGATGGGGCATCAGAAACCTCCCTGGGCAACCCATTCCGGCTCCTCACCACCCTTCCTTCTTCCTAATATCTAACCTAAATCTCCCCTCTCTCAATTTAAAATCATTACCCCTTGTCTTATCACTATCTTCTCTGATGAAAAGCCCCTCCCCAGCTTTCCTGTAGGCTCCTTCAAGTACTGGAAGGTGCTATAAGGTCTCCCTAGAGCCTTCTCTTCTCTAGGCTGAACAGGCCCAACTCTCTCAGCCTGTCTTCATAGCAGAGGTGCTCCAGGCCTTTGATCACCTTGGTGGTCCTTCTCTGGACTCTTTCCAACACTAAGACAATACTTTTTAAAGACTGAATGATCCTTCAGAAAGAAGCCTAGGACACTAAAGGGGCTACAGAAGGATTAATTATCAAGCAGTAGAAAGGTGTTATATAATGAACCTACACCCAAAAAGCATCCCAAAGTATTTGTAGCCTTATTTTTGAAGGTGCACCGGCACAAACCAAAACTTGACAGCAATTTGTTTATATGTACCTGTGAAGG